TGAGTTATGGAATATTACTAGAAATTTTATGAAACATTTAAATCACTGCATCAAAGCAGGAGGAAGTTATTTCAAAATTCTTTAAATGTGTTATTGCCAAGATGTTTTAATGTTATCATTTGTTTATTTATTTATTTTTTTCCTTGTAATATAACCCATTGAATAAAATGCTTGTCAATATTATTTGATGTCATCTTGTATTTACATTTTTTACACTTTTAAAAAAATAATAAATGGATAACTTTATAGAATTATTCAAAATACATTTATACAAGGTGTGACAATTTAATTCTAGGACTGGCCGTGTAGTGCTGCAGTGTCAGCGTGCAGAAACTTGTCTAAGCTTGTCGTAATAGTTCGACCATCTGACTACTTGTCTGCAAAGATTTGTTTGTGTCTCATAACTCGTTCTTTTTCTGTACTCCATTCACATATTACTGTGAGAAAGTGCTGTCACGTTTTTGTCATGGAACAAAAAGCGAACATTAAGTTTTTGTTACAAGTTGGGTAAAAGTGCAAGAGAGACATATGCCCTCATCAACAAGTTTATGGAAATGATTCCCTATCCCGCTCTCATGTTTTCAAGTGGTTTGTGTGTTTCAGGGATGGTCAGGAAGATCTTGAGGACGATGCTTACTCTGGACGACCTCAATCAGTTCCAACACCAGAAAACATCGAAAAAATCAGAGACTTGCTGCAATATGACCGTCGAATATCTATTTGGATGATAGTAGAGACAACTGGGTATCAATCTGGAGACAACTGGAGAGTTAGGCCTCAGTTTGCAGCAAGAGGAAGCTGGGTACTGCTGCATAACAATGCCTGCCTGCACACTGCGACTGTTGTCAAGGAGTTTTTGGCCAAACGTGGCATTGTGGAGTTGAACCACCCTCCATACTCACCAGATTTGTTGTCTTGCGACTATTTTTTGTTTCCGAAAATCAAAATCACATTGAAGGGATGAAGATTCGATGACCTGGAGGACATACAGCACAATGTGACCAAGGAATTGAGAGATGTCAACAGAAGTGACTTTTCCAAGTGTTTCAAGAACTTGAACAAGTGTTGCAAGAAGTGCATTGCCCTCCAGGGGGATTACTTTGAAACATATTAAAAGGGTTTTTATTATATTGATATGTTCTTTGTGTCCTTTTATTACCCCAGTCCTGGAATTTAATTGTCACACCTTGTATATTCCTGGGCATCTGCAGAGGGAGGCAAATGGGACACTTGCCCCTCCATGGGGTTAAGTAAAAAAAGTCCATAAATTATAATTATAATCATAGAAATGATTGAGATACGTAACCTCACACCCTCAATCTTGAGAAGTTTTATCTTAAAATTTCTTCTCCATCTTTAAAAAATCCCAAATTATTGACATAATTATATCTCCAAGCTTTGCCCTCCTGGAAAATTTTCTGTAGATACTCATGAATATATAAACTAATTTTTTCAAGCCTTTTCAAGAGCTTTTAAGACAAACAACTCTACTAAAATCAGATACATTGTATTACCAAAGCCAACCACTGTCGTATGCTGTCAGGCTAGTTAATCAGGCCAATTCTTTTCTTCCAGTAAATCTAATTAAAATTATAATTATTAAATTTATTAAGAAATGGTGCCTAATGCATCCCTCTAGTATCAAATTGTTTGGTAATTTATTAATATTATAGTGTTAATTAGCCTGATAGCATATGGTAGTGGTTGGCTTTGGTTTTTAAGACATTTTTAAGAGCTATACTGCTTACAAAAAATTCTTATGATATGACTTAAACTTGAATACAAATCTTCAGAGAGGCACACATATCTCTCCACTATCTGGCCATCAACCAAATTTATGTAAGACAAATATATCAATATATTGATAATGCTTATCTTAAAATGACATATAAACAAAGAAATTACAATTTTAATTACTGTAAAATGGAATAAATGCATTTTATACAGTAACAGTATTAAAAGAATTTAACACTAAAAAAAAAAAAAGACAAGATAGTCCAAATTACTTGCATTAATTGCTAAGTTCTAGTTCAAAATATCCAGTATTATTATTTGGTTATTAACAAAAAACGAATTGACATACATTATTAATTTTAATTTTTGGATTATTTAATTATTAGATTAAGAAATACTTTAATTTTTAAAAATCTGAACTTGCAGAAACTCTATTTTAATCATTTAACTACACAAGAGATAAGCTTCATTACAAATATATTAAAAATTTAGTTTTTCAATTAAAACTAAATTTGATAAATAATCATTATCCTACTGTACAAGAAATGATAGGAGTCATTATTTAATACTGAAACACTTTCAAGGAATCTCTATCAAAATAATATATTTTGGTATAAGTATAGTTTTAAGGATGACTAATCTAAATTTATATATTTTCAAATTTTATGTAAATAATAGATGCATACATAATTATCTTATGTACGATACCTATGATATGCAGATAAAAAGTAATAGTGATTAGAAAAATCTTTTATTTTTATTTTTATACTAAAAGATGATACAGTGTTGTAATTTTTAAGCACACATTTTCATTATTACAGAATGGAATACTTCAGAATGGAAACAGTTGCTTGTAAAATACAGTTGTCAATATCTATGCATATCTGATCATACAACTGACTTCATATTTCTACCTGTCCCTATAATTATCAATGGCCTATATTCCTTGTATTCAATATAATTTACATAACCTTGCATAAACATAAATTCAGAATAATGCAACTGCTTGCAAAGCAGTTGTACTAATCTCAAATATAACATTGATATATTGATAGTATGTGCCTAAACTTTAAAAATGTTAAGTGCCCTCTTTTATTGTTTAAGAAGTTTTTCAAATCACTATTGCTTATTATCTGAATGTCATGAGCAAATATATGTACTGTACTATACTAATCAGAGTTTGAAAACATGAGTTATATTACAGTAGAGCGTCGATTTTCCGAATCAATTGGGGACTGGGGTTGTCTGGATAACTGATATTTCGGATAACTGATTTACGTACGAAAAAATAGTTTAACGAATCCAATGTCGAAATTTTTATCCATTGCGTGTCGCTTTGCGTTGAATTTTCGTCAATGTTAAGCCTAACAAAGACTATTGTATCGTTAAAAATTATTTTTTTATTTTGTACAAACAAAATAAATATATTGAAAAATATAAAAATAATAAAAAATTATACTTCAGATGTTAATTTAGTATCAAAAACGAAAAATATTTGAGTAGCCCAAGACATAGCCAAAGATTGAAGCGCCACAGTACAGGCGAAAATTTAAATTTGCCGACTGGAATTCTTTCGGATGATTGACGTTTCGGATGATTGACTTTCGGAAAATCAACGCTCTACTGTAATTGTACTTAAAACTATGCTTGAACCTACATTCATTTTTGTATTAACATTAAATGTACATTTTAAATAAATTACTATTTAGAAGTCTTTCCAATTCTTTTTAATCTTTCATTTACATCAGTCACATTAGTGTCACTGAAAAACATAATTTTCTTTTATATTTCATTTAGAATATATTTTGTGTTCAATTAATTATATTTTATGAACAAATAATAAAAATATCCTTACTAAATTTCATTGTAAAAACAATTTAAAGAAACTTCTTATGAATCTCAAATCGTTAGTAATTTATTATGAAAGTTCCATTTCTTCAAGAAGTAAGTATGAATGAAGCAGTGCTATTTTATCTACTTTAATCTAGTAAAACTATTTATAAATTATTTTCACATTGCATATTTTGAATAACTTGACTCAATATACAATTTAAACACAATATATAATAGTCTTAAATGCATTTAACATTAGTAAACAAGTGATGTAATCAACACCCTAATGCAATTGTGAAGTAAGTTTTAAAGTTAAAGTTTCATATAACATACATACATATATTTATATGCAACCTAATTTTAAACAGTTTTAAATCTCAAGAAATAAAATAATTATTCTTAATTTTAAAATTATATTACATGTAAATTTATATTTATTAATATTCTACCCAACTCTGTACTTCTATTAAAGAGGCCATCCATTAATTACACATACAATTTAAGGAAGAGGGGATTGCAAAAAGTACATTACTATATACAATGAAGGAGGAATCAAGGCATTGTATACATACATTTTTTTAGTGGTATCAGTGGCTTATGAATTTGTTCTTGCAAGCCTACTTTCTAGTCATGTAAATAAATTATTTGTTAGAATATACTTGCAGAACCATAAGCTATTTCTTCAATGTCGGGATCCATGAACTATCGTACACATAATTAAAAGGGGGTTCACAAAAAGTACATCATTGTGCATGGCAGAGATGGAAGAGTCAAAAATGTTTGAAAACTGTACACATAATTAATGAATGGCTCTTAAATGTTAAAATTTCAAATCTAAATAAAAACATTTACAAGCTGGCAGAATACTTAAAATTTAGTTTTAAAATCAAAGATAAAATATTTATATAACATTATTACAATTTAATTTCCATATTGTTTTTATTTATGAATGCTGATTAATAGATCTAAATATTAACAGAATTTAAAATTATTGTATAAAATATTATATATTTTTACAAAAGTTATATATAATTAGCAATTTTTGAATTATATACATATACCATTGTAAATTATCCAAAAATTATTGAGAGCATATATATTTCATCATAGATTCTTATCTGTAGATCTTGATCTGTTTTGATTCATTTAACAATAAATATACAAGTCTGAAGGGTAATTATGAGATTAAGGGAATATGTATGATGTAATAATATTAAACAAACATAAGGATCTATTATAACTTAATTGATGTTTTTATTAAGCATCGCAGAAAGGAATTATTTCAATTACATAAATCTAATGCATAAAATTTTTGTCGTAGAAACATAATTTCCTAGTAATAATTACAGGATAATAATTTTCCAGTCAAACGCATATAACGGTAACTTTATAAGAATAAATCTATGTAATTTTGCCATATAATTGTAACTTACTTCCTTTAATTAGATTTCTTTATCGATCTGAATAATTTGCACCAAAATTCTTAATTAATACTTTAATCTACGTCTTTCGGAGAAGACGACACACGAACGAAAAGAATAATAGATTCCGAAATAGACGAATCGTTACCTTAGTGACGCCAATCGGAGAAATGTAAATAATGATTGAATATTTATTTATTTTAATTTGAGACAAACAAAAAGTATATATTATTTTATTATTAATATAAATTAGATGTTAACAAAGCGTAAAGCTGTAATTAAAATACATTAGATTAAATGTAAAAATACTTTTTCTTAACTCTTCGTCCTTTAGACACTTTTTTAAACTCTTTCCACCCTGTGGGCACTAAGAGGGTCTCTTTTAGTAAGCCCATTATGAGTTCGGCCAGGCCCACAATGGGGCAGCCGGGTACTGGGGGACTGCGCCTGACATATCCAGACGGACCACCCCCATTCGGATATGTCGTGATCGCATCCGGATGGGGCGAAAAAAAAACCCAAAATTTTTTCGGATATGTGGGGCTCCATCCCTCATCACCTGGTTTCCTGTGGGCCTGGCCAAATCTATAATGAGCTTGTTAAAATGGCCTTCTTACTTGTTAGTGCCTAAAGGGCTATCCCACGTGGTCTAGTGGTTAGAATATCTGGCTTTCACCCAGAAGGCTCGGGTTCGATTCCCGGTATGGGAACATTTAGACGGCCAGATGGCCAAAAGGTCAAGGTGACAGTGTACCAGCCCACCAGTGGCCAAAGCGGTCTTCGTTCCCTGAAAACTGGGAGTACGGTCGTGGGTTCGCGCCTCGCTCGGACTGGCTGGCCACGTGCAGTTTTCCGGGTTCTCCACGTCTGTAACTCCTAAATAGGGGCCGGTTCCCCTTAAAAAGACCTCCCGAAAGGCACCCCCTAGGAAGATCGCCCAAGTGTTGCGTTGCCATAACTAAACAAACAAACAGACAGTCTAGCGTTCTGGGGATCAGGATTCGATCACGAGTTCCTTAGATCTGTAGGCTGTCACTGATTTTAGTAACTATTTTAGGCCAGATGGCCGAGCTTAAGACCTAAAATAGTTTCTTTAAACAAAACTGTTTAATGAATACAAGTTTTTTCAATGACTTCCGTTTCATTAATTTCAATTGAAAATACAAAAAATACTATGATTAAGCATAATAAAATATTTAAAAATTCTATTGTAAAATAAGTTAAATCGAACAAACTTTTTGTGTATTTAATTAATCTTATGTCCAAACTATGCTTAGCTGAATCGAACATTCATGATATATTTACATTCATTGACAAATAATGTTACTGGTATTGAAAAAATAATAATAATTTTTAAAAGTAAATAAATCTTATTGACGACAATATATGCACAGGAAAAAATTTAACTGAATTCTCTACTATAATACGCTTCTTGTCTAGTTTAATAGGGATAGAAATCAGGGCCCGATTTATCCCTGTTCCCGTACCAAGCTTTTGATGACCCTGTGTATAAGATAAAATATTTATTTAATGTTTTTTTAATATTTAGTCTATTATTTAAACAAATATTGTTAAATTGTTAGTGCAAATACCATATATGAAAAATCTTAAAGGCACTTGTTTGATTTATACAAGCACAGATTTAAATAGTCAACAATTTTTACTATAATTTTAAATAAAATCAGGGCTGTGGAGTCGGAGTCGGAGTCGGAGTCGGAGTCGTGGAGTTTTGGTGTTTTAGCCGGAGTCGGAGTCGGAGTCGGATTGGTAAGGAAAAGTCGGAGTCGGAGTTGGAGTCGGTAGATTTTTACTCGACTCCACAGCCCTGGCAGGATTGTGGAGTCGGAGTTGGAGTCGTGGAGTTTTGGTGTTTTAGCCGGAGTCGGAGTCGGAGTCGGATTGGTAAGGAAAAGTCGGAGTCGGAGTTGGAGTCGGTAGATTTTTACTCGACTCCACAGCCCTGGCAGGATTGTGGAGTCGGAGTTGGAGTCGTGGAGTTTTGGTGTTTTAGCCGGAGTCGGAGTCGGAGTCGGATTGGTAAGGAAAAGTCGGAGTCGGAGTTGGTAGATTTTTACGCGACTCCACAGCCCTGAATATATCAATTCTTATTTAATTTCTTTCAATAAATTTGTCAAATAGTTCCTTTAGATTAGCGAACAATTTCTTTATTCTTATAAAGAAAAAGCAAGAATCCATTGACGAAAAGAAGTACTTAAGAATGGTGATAGCTAATAGTTTCTTAGTACAGTATATTCATTTTATTACTATTTTCCCTTTCAGTTTTTTTATAAAACATTTAAAAGTTAAGCTTTAGTGTATTTACGATTTTTCTATCAAATAAATTTATTTATT